TCCTCGCCGCCGGCTGACTCGGGGCGTCGGCATAGCCGCCATTTCCAAACCGAACCGCGGGGGCCCCGCGCGCCAGAACTCGGCACCTTCTGCCTTCCCGCCTGCTGAAAGGTGACACGATACCTCCCGACACGGGAACGTCGTTCTTGCTCCTGCCCAAACCGGGCACAGGGACAGCAAACAGTGAGAACAGTTCTGCTTTGGTGCCCAACGAGGAAGTCTCCCCGCTCTGGTGCCACAAGCAGTATAAACCCAACCCACGGCGCTGCTGCAAGGATACCAGCGCGTCAGCTGTAAGGCTCATCAATCCCTAATGGCCTCCCTAACGAGCAAGTCCATAGGTGTCATTCGCCTCTTATAACAGCAGAAGAGGAGGAGTAGAAATGACCAAATTACATGAACATCTAATTCTTGCTCACGCTGGAGTAAATGACCCTGTTTAAACAAGCATGCGGGTAAGCGTTTGCAGGGTCTCCCTTTTGCCTACCTGGCATGGATCTTCAGGTTGCTTGATGTTGCAAACTGCAGGTTGCAGACATCACACTTGTATGGTTTCTCTTCTCCGTGATGCATCCGGCTGTGGAACACTAACTGGCACTTCTGAGCAAAGCCTTTGTCACAGAGTTCACACTTATATGGCTTCTCTCCTAGGGAAAAACAAAACCCCTGTGCTCTCCATGCTTACATAAGAAAGTTTGTCATTCCGCTACTTGACCAAAGCTCAGGTGCCCATTTTAATACTTCTTACAAATAACATCTGGGACCAGCCTGTAATCAGTCCACTGAAGTGGAACATGTCATGAATACAGTGGTTAACAGACCATTTCTTAACACATCATTACCTTTTGGGAAAGGAAAGAGGTAATATTTTTACTAGTGCCATACCACTTTCAGAATGCCACTACTATGTTTTCAGACCTTCTGCTGGATATTTCTATTCACGATGCTGAATATTCAAGATGAACAACCAGAAAAGCCATGTGCTGCCTCGTGTCCATCAAACAGCAACAGGTCTCCAGCACAGTTTTGTGCTCACTGATGCCTCATTAGCCTCTGCTGGAGAGCTATGGGTACTTCTCAACTGTTCATCTTCTCCCAGTGGTCAATAGTCCCATCTAACAGGCTGGGCAACTCTGCAGTCTTAGTGACAGTACTGAAGAGCCCGTCTCTGCATTCCTGTGGCAGGGCATCATCAAACCAAGAACTCAAGAGTGTATAGAAAAACATCAAAATAAAAGTGTTAGACATCTAACCTGCCATCCAGCAGCCAACGCTGTGAAATTCTCAGCCTGCTCACGCAAAAATTCCCAGTACAACAGCCTCAAAAGCAGAAAGTGCAGCCGACACGTTCCTACCAGCAAACTGTCCCTGAACACTTCTTACAAGCTTTACCTTGCACGTGAATCTTTTCTTAGTCAGTGGCTGACAAGAGTTGAGATTCTCTCCCTCAGTTACAGCAAGAGCAAGGTGTTCTCCTGCAGCTCTACCTCAATGCTTCCTACTTCACCTCTTTACATCTTCACAGCTTCCTAGAAAGAACTCCACTGCTGGTCTCTGCTCAGACTTTTCCAAAGGGGAAAAAGAGCAAAAGTAAACCACTTCTTATCTGTTTTGCTGTTACTTCAGAGTTCAAATGCCAGCCACAAAAAGAAGCAAGCTACATAACCCAGGTCCCTCTGCTGCTTGCTGGGCTCAGGACAGCACCAGAGGCAACACCAGAACAGAAGTGGGACCACACCACCCTGAAGAGTAAACTCACTCGGCATCGAGTCGTCCATCTCTGGGAGGAACATACAAAAGATCAGCACAGAACTTCTCCCCTATGTCCTCCTAGGCTCCAGCAGTTTGCTGTTCATCATCTTTTAAAGTCAGACATGTTTTCTTAACGATTACATATTCATAATTGATTTCTCGTTGATGCTTTACCTGGCAGCTCTTGCCACAGCACAAACCTCTGGTCATTTTACTGAATAATAACAGCATCACGCATTTCAGCTGCATCTTTTGCTGAATAAAATCTCAAACGATGCTGTGATTCAGACACCTCCCTTGCTTTTTTTTTTTTTTTTTAAGACGCTATGGGAGAAGTTCCCTACATGTCACAAGATGGCATTTTTGCCCCACTTTTGTGGGATTTGGATATTAGGATTTTTAGTTTAAAAAAAAAACCAAATGGAAATTCTGCTATCAAATACAGTGAGTTTTTCATGCTCTGCTGGGAAGTTTTTGGCATCCCATCACTCTACAGTGTTAAAGGGCAGCCAGCTCTTCTGAGTCTTTCCATAAATCAAGATGCTCTACAGTCCCCTCTGGCTATTTAAAGTAGAAACTGTGATTTTGTACTGAAAAACACTGAAGTGTTTCATGCTACCTGGATACAGGTACTACCCTCGTACGCATAGCAGCAGCAGACAAAATTTCTCGGGGCAGAAGTCAGAAGGCAAAGATCTTTTCCGTGCCGTACTGGCAGGCTGTGAGCCCAGGTCTCCACAGCACACGGCGCCCAGGCCAGCGGCTTACCTGTGTGAGTTCTTACATGGGTTTTCAGCTGATTGCACTGGGTGAAGGCCTTCCCGCAAAGCTGGCACACGTAGGGTTTCACTCCCTTGTGTATCCTCATGTGCCGGCGGAGGCTGCTAGCTTCCGAGAAGACCTTCCCGCAGGTGTTGCACACCGGCTTGGCTTTGGAGTACTTCTGGTCCAGCTCCTCTGCCGAGCTCTCCAGCTGGTAGGCATTCTTCTCGCTGGCTATGTTGGACATGCGGTGCTCCTTCAGCGCGCAGCTCTGCTGGGGCTTCCCCCGTTTCTGTTTGGCTGCGATGCTCTGCGCGAGGACATCCTGGGCGGGCAGCGTGTCGCCCTCCCCACCGGCTGCCAGCTGGAGCTGAGGGCTGGCACTGCCCCGGGCACCCTGCTCCGTCACCTGCGCCGCCACCTTACTGCCGTCCAGAAACAACTCCACGGACGCGTTCTCCGCCGCGTCACTCTGATAGGGCACGGATTTATTCTCTGTGCTTTTGGAGGAGCTGAAGGTCTTCTTCCGCTTTTTGGTTTGAGGAGATTTCTTTTCTAAAGTTGCTTTCTTCACCTGGGGTTGAACCAGCTCTGCGGAAGCAGCATCTGCTTTCTCCTGACTGTTGTAATCTCGGAGAGTCAGAAGGCAAGTCTGCTGATTCATTTCAACGTTTCCAGTGATGCTGGATGTCTCTGTAGAAGAGGGATTAGCAATAAAAGCAAAGTCTTCCATCTTGATTTTGCATTTAGCGACCACTTCTTCGACTTTGAGATAGTCGGCAGCCTGGTGAATTTCTTTAACGTTCCAGCTGCAAGAAAAGCAGACTTGGGTGACAATATTCTGGACAGGGCAAATGTTTGCTCTGTACCAACTGCATGGTAATTCTGAGAGATCTAATCCCTCAGTGCTGCAGTGCCCTGAGGCACTAGCATGACAGTGACTCTAAGGGATGGCCCACGTCTAGTGGGGTCTGGACATCTGCACAACCAGGAGGTTTATGTTCAGTTACGTGCCTTCTGTAGAATTTTAAATTACAAGTCCAGATGTAAGGCAGTGAAGCTAGACATGGGGTTGTCAGTCGAAAAAGCTCAGAAATCACAGCACAAAGGGCTAAAGTATCAGAGAATAAAATGCATAAATTACCATTCTATGATCCTCCTGCCAAGTCTTAAGTATTTCTCAAGTGGTGCCCTTCAGAGAGCAGTGTTTTATAAAACAGTTTGCTAACAGCCTTAACTCTGTATCAGCTGCACAAACACTGACACCACAGAAGTCCTCATTTAAACCCCCGTGCTCTATTTTTCAGGCCTTGAGGGTTTAGAAAAACTCATCTGGAAGGCGCAACAAAGTCCCATCAATGCGTTTATGGATTTAGAGCACTTTAAAGAGAGATTAATGACAAACAACATCACTCTAACAATCTATTACACAATAAACGTAATGAAATAATAAGGTACTACCCACAATTACTCTCTGTCCATGAATATAACTGGTTTAGTATCTTGTGTCATGCTGAGTTCAAAATACCCCCTCCCGGTGTCCCTCCTGCGCCTACCACCACAGAAGGCCACGGGATGTTTGGCAGGGATAACAGAGCGAGACAACGGGTGCACATGGGCAGAGCTGCAGGGGTCATCTTTGGTCAAACACTTCTCCCTGGGCGAGAATGGTACTTTTGTCTTCAGAGATCCCAGCTGCTCAGAAAGAATCCAGAAACTCTCCAACTGCCATCCCAGAGGGCGACGGGGAATGCGGCGTACCGCTGCTCCGTCGGCACAGCATCCCTCCCCAACACCACCACTTGGCTCCGTTAACACTTCTGGGCAATTAAAAAAACTCCACAGCACCCTGCCACAAGTACTTAGTTTGCATGAGTTTTCAGACTGCAGAAGAAACAAAGGGGTTTTAAACCTGTGTTTGACACCAGGCATTGAGTAAAAATCCTGGACTACACACGCCTAAGTAGTCACCATCCCTCAGGAGGGGCAGTGGCTTGCTCCCCCCAACAGAAAAGCACTGCAAGGTGTCCTTGCTGCCTGAGAAGCAACACAAGGGGCACAGCGTCAGTGCAGTGAGGGCAAACACTTTTTCTGTCACTCCTTTTGGGTACTGTAATATGAGATTTTAAGGAACAGATCACACAAATTCTAACAAATACCATTTTTTTAAATTGTGCCTATCCGCATCCATTCCTCAGGCTTTGGTCTCTACCACAGATCCAGTTTCTGTGTGTTCCTATAATCCTGCTTCAGAAAGGACCTGCGTCTCATTCCTTCTCTTGGTGACTACACGCGACAGTCAATCCCTTCCAATCCAGACAGGAAGACTGGGAGACTGAAACTATCAGTTGGGGAAATCTCAGACAACAGACCTTCACTACAGCACTCACATCCCAAGTGGTATTTTAAAACACACAAACAAGAGGATCCTCAACTCATTAATATGTATCATACGCGCTGCTATCCAGAGCTTAGCATAAAGAACAAAAACCCCACCACTGCCTCAACCCAACTTTATTTCCCTCTTGTCTTTCCCCCTTTAACAGCATACATTACCTGTCAAGGTTTAAGTTTCCTGTATAAATAAACTCCAGGAGTTTTTGGAATCCATCGGCTTTCACTAGACTCTGATCCAAAACAACGTTGCTGTCGGAGGCGTCCCTGTAGAACGTGCCGAAGTACTCGCTGAAGGACGCCAGCACGTTCCTGTGTGCTTTGAACTGGAATTCACCGATGACGACGGTGCAGTCGCACAGAAACCCGGCTTCCCGCTGCTTGTTCAGCCGCTCCAGAAGGTGCTCACAGTGATGGGAATACTGCATTTTGATAACCAGCCGCAGCCTCTTAGTTCCGATCTGGGAAAGGAAAAAACAGAATCGATTTAGATGCAAGATTTAACTTTGTTTCCCCCTTAAGAGCGTGAGTTAACAACTGCAAAGGAGCTGGTGTTAACATCCACCCGCGATCGCTGCAGGGCGGTGTGGGCCGGTGCGGCGGTGGGCGGATCCTCCTTCACCCGGGGAGCCGCTAACTTCGGAGACGGGACGAGGGGAGGGGGCAGAGCCGTGCGCGCTGCCCGCCGGATCAGAGCCTTATCCTGCCTAAGCTCACTGAGCCGTCGCGGCCAAACCGGGCTCCGAGGAGTGCTCGCAGCAGCGAG